GTATTAATACAGATACTCAGACCAGTCGAGAATAAATTATCGTGTTAAGCTGTTAAAGTTTGCAGTACTTATCTACGCATTGAGAGTAAAATAAGTTAGTCGGTATATTCTAGAGGATGTGAAGAGCTGAATGATACCTGGCAGTGGAGAAAAGACGACGAGACGTTGCAGGGGCCCACAGCTGGGGAGAAAAATCTATAGTTGGGATTGAGGAAGGTTCACTGACCGCTGGTGTGGTAACCTGATCCCCCTCTTCCCCCTTAGGGTCGTCCCGCTGGTGACCTGGACATTCCCCTCAGGGTTGATACTCTGGCTGGTGACCTGGACCCCTCTCCCTCCCCCCTCACCCCTCAGGGTAGCCCATCTGGCTGGAGTATAGCACACCCAGGCCAGCAGGAGGTCGGGGTTCCTTTGGTGTATTGGCTTCACTTATAGATCCAGGAAGCGAGGCTCAATATTGTATTCAGGTAAGAGTACATATACACACAATGCGTTATAGTGGTGGGTTTAAAGGTAGAGCTAGTGTATATACTATGTCTTAAGCCACTAATACGTGCAGCTAATACGTGCAGCGTATTAGTGGCTATTTGTGTGACGCGGGAACCGCTGCTCACTCTTTCTCCCTCGCCCATAGTAGTCCAAACAGTGTTCTGGCTCATCTCGTATAACAATTATTTTACTCACAATGAAATCACATTAACGTTATGTATCAGTGAGAAAATTAGGAGCCGTGAGGAAGATTCTAACCCGCACACTTGGCACTCCCATTTCCTAGACCACTACACCACGACATGCTCAAAAGCAATGCAGCCTGTGATTCAGCTGAATCCTCTATGGGTCCTGAGGCTTCCACCGAAGGTTTCCGTCCTTAGGCTTCAGTTGAAGCCTCAGACAACCTAGAGAATTCAGTATTGCTTTTGACCATGTCGTGGTCTAATGGCGTGAGCTTGAAAGTACAAAGTTCGAGTCCCCCTTGTGGCTTCTACTGATTTTCTCACTTTTATTGTGCGAAAGCAAGGAGTTTGCTGTGTCAGCTGCTGATTTTTATTAAAGTGAAGGTCAAACACTTTTTCAACCACAACTCGGGAGCACAAGACGAATTTCTGGATTGAACTAAATCTCTGAACAACATGTATAATGAATGGTGGTTTTGTTTCACTTTATAGCAAAATCTCACAACAGCGTTACTTTTGTTTTTGCTAGACGAGTGACAAAGCAGTTCAGGATACTGGATCATGTAGAGATGTTGCATAAATATAGTATTTTTGTCCAGCTACTTTACCTAGGATACCTTCGTCTTACTTGGAGAGGGTCTTGGGAGTTCTTCTCCCCGAGCCCGGCCTGAAGCCAGGCTCGACTTCTGATCATTTGGATAGAATCCTTGACAGCAGTAAAATTTGCCTAATAGTTAGCTACGTAAACAAACATCAGATGTAAGGAAACTTCAAATATGTCTCCGTATCTTGAAATCGAACTCTGTTCAATCTATTGTCACAACTTGCTTTGGTTTTATATTCGCCCCATAGGGCGCTAGTTTATTGGGCAGCGTCACTCATCCTGTGAGTGAACATACCTCCATAGCAGCATGCATAACATCCCCCAGTGGGAAGAAACTAAGATGGATTGTTCATCCTGTCTTGGTTGTGGTGGCACTTACGGCGTGTGCCAGATGGTGTGCTGGAAAGTGTGAGCGTAATATGTTTGGGCGAGTTGGTGGCCGTCTCCACCAATTAACCTAAGTGGATTCTCAGATTTACCATCCCTGCCACTGCCCCAGTTAGCCCAAGGCTTAGGATATTCTTTCTAATCATCTTTACTTCTCTTGCTCTCTACTTTCCGCCGTAGGTTTCTCGTATAGTGGAAATTTGTAGACATGGTAGCAATAATAGTTTTCAGTTTTATATTGTCATGCTGTTATGAAGCCGGTTGGAACTGGGCATAAGATAGAGCATACACCATTCAACGTAGCAGGTCAGCATTATTTGGAAGAGTAGAAACTTCCCACCGTATACCAAAGAATTGTACAACTTGACACTACTTTCTGCATTGTTACACTCCTACCTCATGATCTTATGTCCCACCTATTAGCCTTCTTGTACCTGCTGCATTATTATTTAACTATTCTGGTGTTCGAATTTTTTGTTGAATCTGACCTTAAAATTGTGGCTGGCGATGACTTCCACAACTTCCAGTTCATTCCACATGTTGATCACCCGTACAGGGGTACGAATATTTCCTGGGATTTCGTGGACTTTTACATTACAATCTTCCACTTGTGTTCTTGTCTTGCTGTCTTAAAATTTGAAGAGGGAGGCAGGGTAAAGCGCCAAGCTAATTCGACTATATAGCACTTGGAAGGGGTCAGGATAAGGATTTGGGATGGGACAGGAGAAAAAGATAGTCGTTGTTCACCTTTTCTTTTTCTCCTTGGTATATTTTGTTGACCATATCCCCTATGCTTCTGTCCTCTACGGTTGCGAGATATATTTCCAATAGACTTGCCTTGAATCTCAAGCTTCCGTATTTTTTTAAATTTTGCTTTTGTGCTTATCAAGGTACCGATTATATGCCGGTGCTGCATATTCCAGCATTGGTCTAACATGTGAATTGCCTTGAAGGAGGCTTGATTCATATTTCTAAAATGTTCTTGTTTGTCCAGCGTCGAATATGTTGCTGTTACCCTGTTTTATATGCTTCCGGTGTTAGTGTTGGAATTATAGCCACTCCCAATTTTTTCTTTTGATTCCTATAGTTGCCTTCTTATGGTGTGAATGTACCCCTCCCCCATGATCTTTTCTAAACCATTTTATTCTGCGTAGCGAGCAGATTATTTGATTACCATTATAAGGGTTTTGTTTATTTTCCATAAGTTTTAAAGTGTTGAAGAGCAGATTTTGATTTACAAACTTAATTGTTTTTAGTATACTGTTAGTCTTGACGGTTGATAAAGCCATTAGTGTAAACATTATGCTCGTGGGATCTTGGGATTTCGATAAGACAATTATTTTGTACGTGATTGGCTTTAGAAAAGGAAGATCTTCATATCATTTCTTGGTGATAGATTCTTAGATGGGATGGGTGCAGATCAATTTAGTTTAGATAAATTTAAAATCTTTAACTTTTTGTTGCTACTCGGCGACATGGAGAGCGCCTAGGTGTGCCCCCCCCCCATCTCTGGGAGGCGTAGAGAGGGATGCTGGAGTCGCGGTGCCTTATGTTGGCACTGTGCCAGGCTGTTGCTTCCACTCCACCATCAATATATTCTTATCAACATTCATTATAATTTTTTGGTAAAAACTGAGCTCGAATTTTCTAATTAAAGTAAACGAGATAAAGATGTCAACAAAATTAATAGACGAAGTTCAATCAAATCTATACGGATAATAGGGATAGTAATTATTTATAAGTTTTATTTTAAGTACTAGTTTAAATGCACATTAGTAAACACAGTAACAGTAGTAAATGTACATTATAACTTGTATATTTATACAATACTTGTATTTAATATACAATAACCGTCAGCACGGCTGGCGAGGAGCCCCGTATATTTTAGTAGGAATAATGGCAGTAAGAACGTGATAAACCATGGATTTAGACAGGCTTGGACAACCCACGCCTCTTCTCGATGAAAGTTGAGCTAATTGTAATTATGGTATTAATTAGTAAAAGTACACTGGTAGCAGTGTGACATTTACAGCTGATGCTGTAAAGTATTAGAACAAAAAGTTAGACAAGGATAGCCACAAATAATCACTTAGAATTTATGGGAAGTAGTGCAGAGGTACTGTGATAGAGAACTGTGAACAACATTTATTAAACCTGGTCTTAAGAAAAACTAATTTCGTGATGTGGTTAATTTCTTTCAGAGAACATCATCTGTTCCTGAACCGATTATGTGCCTTGATAACACTTTCCACCACCGCCCGCGGGATGGGTATTGGGGTGAATATTAAATCAGAGATTTTTTTTTCATTTCATTATGTAGCGTGTTTGATCTCGACATTGAAGAAAATCCTTGAATGTCAATTCGCAAAATGTTCCAAAATACAACAGATAGATACGAACTATGAAGATAAGCACTATACTCACCATCTGCACAGTGAATAAGATTTAATAATAAATATACTTCTGATAATGTTTGCATTTTTACTTTGAATTACTTTATAGCAAAAGTAATTGCTTTTAATATCTTTGTGGACACTTTACATGGCTTTACTTTGTCATGTTATATGTGGCAGAATTCATGTAATCCGAACTCTGCTTAACAAATATGAAAACACAACTTTAACGATGACCTAGATATTGGTGAACTTTGTAATGGGTTTTCTCATTGTAGTTTGGACTGGTAGGATGCCTTTTTAACACGTACAGATGTATTTAAATTTACCATTCTTTAATGTCAAAACCAATTTTCATTAACTCTTCTCTTTCCATCTTTTTTTTGCACGCTGCATTAATGCTTCACCTTGATGTTCAACACGTGGACTGGGGTATGGTACTTTTTTGTACTTTACACATGCTGGTACCCACCTCACTCACCCCTGCCACCGGTCGACCATATTCATTCGTCTGGAGGCGGGTCTCACTGAATTATTTGGTTTGTTTGCCAATGGATTCATTATGATCTCATTATTTGATGTCTGGTGATTAATTTGAATGTTATAAATTTAATGCTATGTTATGCATTCACTATTTATTGTACTGTATCTGTTTTGTAATATGCTTACTACTCTTATGAGGTCCTGTTGTAATCTTTACCTGAAAATACAAAAAAATGAATTGTACGTGACCATCTCTAACTGGCGGCTCTTGTCTCGTATCATATTGTGGGCTCGACCCGATAACCTCTTGTGTATGACCATGATTCATTTTTATATTGGCCCGTTAACACCACCACCCATCTCACCTGGCATATTTATCATTTGAATCATCGCATATAAAATACCGTCAATCTCTGACACTTCCCCAACCAAACCGTCTGTGTGCGTGTCACTAACTAGAGCAGAGATAGTTAGCAACAGTACGCGGCGACGAGAGACCAGAGTCACGGGCAAAGACGGTAACACTGTGGTCAGCAGTGAAACAGAGTCGTCGTCCTCCAGGTGCTCACTACTTTTGCAAAGTTGGTCTAAATTTTGTATAGGGACCATTATTAGATATAACCGGTAGGAATATATGTTATGGCTATCACAAGACTATTATTTTAACTAACCGTCAGTAGTTTCAAAGATTATATGATGGTGGTACATCTAAACACTCAGCATAACTCATCCTGTAACTACACTTGGGTAATTACATGTTGCACAATCCCTATAAAACCACAACCAATAGGAACACAACCCCCCACCCTACATATATAAGCGCAAGTACTATCTACCGCTTCTACAAACACCGAATCCACCGCTGGCAATGGTGGCAACAAATGTTGGAAGTGAATACAGTATAGTAAAACTTTTTTTCATTCTAAGAAATATAACTAAATATGACTGAAATTGTGATGGGTGATAGCCATAAGTCCAAGAGACTCAAATCCTTGAGTTTTATTGCAGTCACCTGCCACCAACTTTATCATGTGAGGTGCAAAGAATTAGGATTTAAAATACTGTATTTTAAAGTGCTCTTCTCTCTTACTATTCATTGTGATCCATCCACTTAAACTGGTCAGTACAGCTGTGATCTCACGTCTTGCTGGGTTGGTGTTCCATCCTCGATTTAGGGGTTGGGTACTGTTCCTTCACTCCTTCCTCATTCAACAACTGTCTTCATATTCCTCCTAAGTGCTATAGTCATACTAGCTAAGCAATTTCTCCATTTTTACCTTGCTCTTGCCTTACCATTCATATTACTCTACAATAAATTAGTTCAACCTGATGTACTTCATCACATCTCTCTCAGCCATATTATGTAATTTTGTATTGGATGCATTTATCTCCGAAAAGTTAGTTTTAAAATTTTGCTTCTTTCCTTATTTCCTCATTAAAAATCTAATAAAATTAAGTACTGTACACTAATGGAAAACAGTGACACCATTAAAAATAGCTGCCATTCTTGCTTTTTAAAAATAGAAAGTGAAAGTAATCATTGTACTTTATAAGACAGGGCAAATTTAGATGGTGGCATTAGCCAAACAATTAATGGAATAAAGATCAATATGGATATTGACTTTTCAAAGGATATACTGTAATTTGTACATTATTTTATGTTGACAAAATATTTAATCCTGCATAATCTTACAGCCAACAAGATCAAGCCAGTTCCAACCAGGGTACTGGGTCTTGGCTGGAAGGGATGAATTCACCTCTTATCCAGCAAGATGGTGACTGTAAGCAGTTAAAGCTACGGTTTGATGTAAGCCAGTACAAGCCAGAAGAGATCGTTGTTAAGACTGTGGATAATAAACTCTTGGTAAGTGGCCCAGTTGTACATTGTAACGTACGTTTGTTACTTTGTTGGGTAGATTAGATACACATTGTTTAGTGAGTTTTCATATTTATTTAGTAGTCTTGATTACAGTAGTCGGTTGGTGGCATTGTCATAAACGTTCAGACGGAGCTTGGAGCAGAGCAGAGAGCCGAGTGAGGCCGGAGTCGTGGAGCTCTGTGGGAGAGCGTGGCAGCTCGATTGGGAATCGAGTGTCTGAACTCGGGGAGTGAGAGCGTTGTAGCTCGATGCGGTCGTAGTTTGCTGTCTGCTGTGTCAAAGCTGTAGCGTCTTGGGGTCGATTAGAACTGTACACGCTGAGTGCTACATTGTTGACTGTGGAAATTGTACTGTCCATTATTCCTCATATCGCTTGCTTATATGGCGACTACGCCTCGGCTCCCTCCAACAAGATGAGAAGAGTATTACCTGTAGTTGGGGAAAGGATTGTAGCTTCTGTAATTAGTGCCAATTAGTTATGCTGTTAAGATAATGAGATAATGGAGTGAGTATAAGATTAACTCGCTACAATATAAAGCATTATAGAGGTCATCATATATAGACATCTTAACTAATTTTTTATGCATTGTTTAAACATATAATTAACCCTTGGGGTAAAAGCCATTTAAACTAATTAAAGAAACCTTATTTACAGATAATATTTTCCTGGGTAAGAGTGGCACACTTCTGAAAGCAATACCAATGTTAGTGTTAAATCTCTTCCTGGAACATGGCCATTGGGATCGAGCAGCCCTACCACACACTGGGGGTATATAGATATTGACAAGGCAATGCCGATAACATTACAGGAGACATCTCCCGTCACACAGGGTGCAGTCGCACCTCCACAGATCTCCAGTATCATCTATTGATACTGGTAATGGCTCAAAAGGGCCACCACTTATAGGCTATTCATGCCCGTGCCACCTTTTGGGTGGCTTAATCTTAATCAATCAGGTAACATTGCCTGCATTCCTATCCTAATGTAGTGCTGGTAGTGAATTAGTGTGATCCTACCAGAACACTTGGAGATTTCATTGGGATTCATGATCCCAGGGTCATTGAAGAGCCAGTTTTTAGGATATTTTGGCAGGCTCTTTACCAAAGCCAGCATCCTCAAATGACAGCAGACCCACTAGAATAGCTCCATAGTAAAGACAATCGTCTTAATGATGAATGCATTTTTTAGGAAAGATAAAGCATGCCTTGTGATTAAGGCCTTCTTACTAGATTTCCTATTAGCTGTCCCTTATTCCTCATTGGGTTCCTGTCTGGACTGTGGCAATGTATTGGCAGACCAATATGGCAACCATGGTCTACTCTAATTTATGAGGGGGAAAAGATGCTGTCATGAAGTAATCATTATCATTATTAAAACATTTGGTTACAGCTAAGCATCCAGCACAAAGGGCACCAAAATGTGCAGACATAAGTCACAAGTATACAGATGAAGTCACTGCAACCTTGGAAGGACTATAAATACCCAATTGGCAAAACATATTGAGTAATGTTTAATCTGTGGGAAAAACCTGCTGGGATTGATATAAGAGGAGACTACCAGGGACTTGTACTGAACTAAATTAAAAATTTACTGTCTGCAAATTAATTCAACTAAAATCTCTAGCTAGGGTTGTAAATCCTAGATCCTCTTTTCCTAATGACAAACTGTGGGCTGTAAGGGACAGGTGGGGTGAATGACTATGTTGATAGAAGTTCCAATCCACCTGTAGACAGGGATCTCACATCAGCTTGTATTTTATACAAGGATAAGATTTGATAAATTCAGTTATCTGACTGAACACTGGCTCTGTTTAAATCAGGGATTTAAACATACATAGTCTAACCTAGCACCATAACTTAACAGCCAATATGTACTTATACTATAAACAACAAATTAAATTGTAAAAGTATAAATAAATGACCTTAAATGTAGTCTTAATACTATTAACTTAGTACTAGAAATTATATTCAATTAAATGAACTTATATGATAACTTATAAATAACTAAGCAAGCAATTGATAACTTAATTTATATATTCAAATATATATGCAGACATATTCACTTATATGATACAGTTAGCTTGAGTGAATCTCTTCCAACGCTGTAGACACTTGTGAGGTTTTTACTTATTGAGGCTGAATTCTTTTCTGACAGAATGGACACTCATGAGGTTCAGTGCTTGGATAAGATTCACAGCTACACTACAATTTTAATAAACTTACTGAAATGTGAGGCTTAGCCTCGCTTTTTAACCAACAGACAGATTTATAGGATATTAAAGTTACACAAGCATACAATTGGCCAATCATACACCAAATAACCCTCAATATACTTCTCTGCCAGTCGGGGTGCCTGTCTGACAAGTTTGCCAGACTGATTAACTCTCCCTTGTTGAGTTTAGGCACGATATTTTGCTACAGCGTTGCTGTATGATGATCTGGTAGCGTTGCTACGTGATTATCCTGCAGTTGCAGAAGAATGATTCGAGATAAAAGTTTATGAATGAAGGAGGAAACCGTGTCACTGATCTCCACTATACACTCTATTTTATGTGAATGTTCTAGGATTTTCCTTGTAGATATTGTCCAGGTACTCCCCCAGTTCTAGAGAGTATTCACTGGCGATAAAAAATGTTAGATAAGGTGTCCTTGAGCTGGTATGTTCGCTAAGGATCAGTCACTTGTTCACTCATTTGTAAACAAACGCGGAGTGCCCCGAGGCATCGTCGTGGGCGCTTCTCGCCCCCGAGAGCCTTCCCCCTCTCCCTTGAGAGGTAGCTTGCAATGAATATTGATTGATTATTTTTACAGTCTAGACTTATGATTAAGATAAGATGTGATTATAATATAATTAGATATAAGATTTAAAGATTATAAGTAGTATTTGAAAGTACCACTGAATCTTATTAAGGATTCGATTTTTAATCCTACCGGATGTTGAATCAATGTTCCAATAGTTTTTTAATTAAGAAGTCCTTCTAGAAGCTTCTGGATCCTTGAAAGATCATGTACAAAGTCACGTAGGCATCAAAAGGGCCCCTGTTGCGTACGTGTTCATGGTGCCATTGTCATCCAGGATCAAGCTATAAAATGAATCTTTAATGATTCTAATATGATTTGATACGATTTAGATATGATTTTGATATGATTTAGATATGATATAGAAATTATACATTTCTTAGATGATTATTAGATATGGTGGGTAAAAATTTCCCACATCTTCCAGAGGGAGAGAACTGGCACAGAGTCCAATACTTAGGACAATAGTAACCATATGTATTTATTTACTCTCCATTGGATTGATAATACAAGTGCAAATTTTGCTTGCACTTTTCTGCTGCTGTCCGTTGTGGACGATTGTGTCTGTTAGGAGTCTGTGGGTCTTGTGGAGTTAGAGTGTCTTGAGGTCTCTCAGGATCTAACTGCAGCTGGCTCACTGATTCCATGTGGATGAGTTTGTCCAATGTCTTCAGGGAAGTTGTTCCTTTAGACAGGATTTTGACTATTCTCAAAATCCCCTGACTATCTGGATGGACTGAGACAACTTTACCTAATGGCCAGTCATCCCTAGGGCCATCACTGTCTACCAAGACAATATCGCCAGGTTGGAGATTAGCTATATTATGTGGGACGTTGGCCCCATAGTGATGTTCTCGTAGAGATGTAAGATATTCTTTTGTCCAAACATCATTCCATTTTTGGATTATGCTGGACAGATGCTTATACCCCTGAACCAACTCGCTCTGACCCACATATGAGGGATCTCTGATCTCATCATCCACTAGAGATGGTACTGGAGTCAGAAGTCTTCCATACATTAGGTGGGCAGGACTTAATGGCTCATGTTGAGTAGGATCCTCAGACAAGTAAGTCAACGGCCGGTTATTCACCCTTGATTCTATTTCCGTGATTACTGTCTGGAGTTCTTGAAGATTGATTTTCTGACGGTGTAGAGATTTTCTCAAGGATCTTTTTACAGTTCCTATTAACCGTTCATAAAATCCTCCGTGCCATGGGGCTCTCGGAGGGATAAATTTCCATCTGCAATGACGCTGTTCCAGTGTGGAAGTAACTGCAGGATGGGAACAGATTTCCCGTAGACATGCTTCTCCAGCTACCAAGTTTGCTCCGTTATCTGAAATCATCAGCTTAGGGCATGATCGGCGTGCTGCGAATCTGCGGAAAGCTTGAATAAATGATTGAGCAGTCATATCGGGTGTTACCTCTAGATGTACTGCCCTGGTGGTAGCACAGGTGAACAGACAGATGTATGCCTTGATAGGTTGCTTATCTGCAGTCCCTGTTAGATATATTGCTCCTGTATAATCTACTCCTGTCGTTTCGAAAGGTTGTAGATGGACCACTCGTTCCTTTGGTAGGGGTGGTGGCCCTGGATAAGAGCAAGTTCTTGCATCGTACCTTCGGCATATCATGCAATTCTTCAAGATTGATTTGACTGACTGTCTTCCCTGAGGAATCCAGTACTGCTGTCTGATTTGTGTGAGTGTGTCTAACACTCCTCCATGTTTGATGATTTGTTGATGTGTATGTAACACAATCAACCTTGTGATCCAATGATTTTTTGGTAAAAGCCATGGATGCACGGTATCTAGATTGATATCTGCGTGTTTAAGTCTCCCTCCACAACGCAGAATGTTGTGATTTTCTTGGTCTATCCACAGACCGAGATTGTGTTTTAACTTATGCGGAAGATTTTCATAGTTATTCCCATAAGTTTCTCTCTGGGCTTGTCTTACCCAATAGATAAGTGCATCTGGAAAAGTGTATTTTATACCTTTTTTCCTGAGATAATGAAACACGTTCTGTGTTACATTGATTAATTTGATGAGCGAGGAGTAACGAGTACAATCCAAGACTGATATTTGAGCTTGCTGCCTGGTGGTAGTTATGGTTTGTGTCGTAATGACGTGTGGCTTTTGTTCAGGCCAACTACCATTCACTAACCATCGAGGCCCATGAAACCA